ATCACGGTGCGCAGGTCTCTCGCTGTCGCGGCTTCTCTTGTTGCAGAGCACAGGCTCAGTAGTTGTGGCTCACGGGCCTAGTTGCTCCGTGGCACGTGGGATTTTCCCAGACCAGGGCTCAAACCTGCATCCCCTGCATTAGCAGGCAGATTCTCAACCACTGCGCCACCAGGGAAGCCCAAAGATGAAGACTATTGAGCTGGACTTGAACTTCTCTACAACAATGTTAAATGCTAGAAAATAGTGGAATGATGCTGCAGATCTCCACAGGGGCAGTATCTGGAACTCAGGTGTTGCGATTTTCCCTGGGCCTGATGGAGAGGGGCTGGGCTCCCTGAGTTGCAGAGAGCCCTCTTTCTCCCAGCCAAGAAGAGAGGATGTCCAGAGATAAATGTATGGAATTCTATCTGTTGTTGCCTGCAAGCCCCTGTATTGAAAACATGCCGAAGCCTTTGCCCCCCTTTCAGATGATCTGAAAATCCCCATTTCAGTTCACTTAGAAGACAGAGCCCTCACCCTCGACAACAGAGGGTTATTCTCCAGAGCCCATTCTTTAGCAGCTGGGCTGCCTGCCCCTCTGGCTGCAATTCTTTGACCCTGCGCTAAGGCTGCCAGGAAAGACAAGGGGCGGGGGAAGGAGTGGGTGGAGGCTTGGAGGCAGGGCCTGGGGGAGAGCTGGGACCCTGCGGGCTCCAGCCTGAGGGCTCTTACCTCTGCCTCTTTCCCCGGCTGTTGGTGCTTCTGCTTGAAGCTGCCAGGTGAGTGCCAGGGCAGAGCAAAGCTGGGCTGGCACAGGGCCTGGGGTAGTGGTGGTGGGGACCGCCTGGGGCTCTGGGCTGTGCATCTGCAACTCTAATGCACACGCCCACGGCCTGGGGATTATCATTAAAATTCAGACTTGACTCGCTAAGCCTGGGATGTGGCCTGAGGTTCTGCACCCCTGGTGATGACAGGGCTGCTGCACCATGGACCGCACTTTAATAAAAGATCTAGAATGTTTTCTAGGCCAGGTGGGGTGAGCTGGAAGCAGGGAGCTGCTTTAGTGCCGGCCTCAGTGGAGACATCCTTCCTTCACGCCTTAACTCTCTGAGGTGGATTCTGCCGCCCATAGTATCCTGACATTTTTCTCCCAAAGAACAAGAGGTGCTTAGAAAAATTCTTAACAAAATTGCTATGGAATTAAAAAAAATCTGTTTACGTATTCGAAAATCCCCTCAAACTCTGGGTTTTCCTCCTTCTCCCAACTCTTGAGCTCATAGGAACTGCTTCTAAAATCTCGACAGGGCTCAGATCCTGCCAGCCCCCTCCAGAATAAATTGATTTGCAAACTCTTTCTCCCCTTGGAGAAACAGTGGTCCCTTGAATTTTCTCAACAATGCTGAGCCCTCAGCTCCCTAGGTCTCAAAGTTTGGCCTGGGGTCTCTGGCCCACTGTGGGCAAAGCTGCAGACGTGTTTGTGGGAGGAGGACGCAGGTCTCAGAGAATGAGAGGGGTGGGCTGGGGACGGCTGGAACAGATGGGGAGACCACTGGGTCCCAGGAAAGCAGGGGAGGAGGGAGGATGGACATCTGTGTTTGAGCTTCGGTTTATAGGAAACTCCCTTTGGTCTGCAGACTTGGGGAGATGGAGCAGGATATTTATTGTCTGCACCCTCCAGGAGGCCCTGGAATGTGTGTTGAATAAGCATTGTTTTGGTTATAACAGCCACAGGGCAAAGGGCAGGAAGGGTGCTCCAAACCAAGGGATCTCAAGCAACGCCTCTTGTCCTGCTTTTTCTGTTCGCTCCCTTCCAAACCCCCGAAGCTCTGTGGTGAGCCCTGGAGACCTCAGCTCGGTTCTGAGAGCCTCTCAGAGGACATCTGGGTGTCTGGCTACAGGTCTGGGGTGGGCACGGAAAAGAAGAACCAGAGAGAGGGCTTCAGGAAGCTACTCAAACTCCTGACACTTGGAATATGCCAGGGCTGCTCTGTGTTAAATTCCAGGTCTGCTGGGGATGTGCTGGCAACATGTGTAGACAGTGCTGGACCTGCACTTGGAAATGAGACGAGGCGGAGAGCTTGACTTGAGAATTTACCAAGTTAGCATTTAGTCTGGTGACTCGCCAGGAGGGCCAGGGCAGAAACCCCCAGAGCCCAGGGCTCTCCCCCAACCCCAAGTGCTGGGACTCTTTGAACTTATGAGGTGGGAGAGGCTGCAGGCATCCTCACAGAGGATGTACAACCAGCCTGGAAATGGGCTGATTATCATGCCCTACAAAAGCCCTCTGAGATGCTCTGGTGCAGACATCTTGCTTTACAGAGCTGGCAACTGAAGCCAAGAGTGGAGAGGTGATGGACCAGTGCTACCCTAAAGCAGTGGTTCTCAACCAGGGGTGATTTTGACCCCAGGGGACACTTAGCATTATCTGGAGACAGTTGTGGGTGGGAGGGGAGAAGTGTGCTACTGGCATCTAGTGGATAGAGGCCAGGAATGCTGCCAAACATCTTAACAAAGCATGGGACAGCACCCCTGCTACCCCTAAACAAAAATTATCAGTCCCCAAGCATCAACAGTGTCAAGGTTGAGAAACCCAGGACCAGCCTTGAAACTTGCTGTGGAGCTCAGTTTTCACCAAACAAAACTGAAACATTTATGGAGAAACCACTTCTTTCCTAGACAATTCACGAAGCGCTTTCTCACCAATACGTAAGCTAGTGACTTTGTTTTACTGTTGTCTTGATTTCCAAATTAGAAACAGATTTTGTTCCTTATCTATTTACCTTTTGTTATTTTCAATTATACATCTTCTTCCTTTGAATTCTGGGAGAATTATCCAATGTGCTTTCCAGCATCCTGATCTAATTTCCCCCAGAATCTGTCTTATTGCCTTCAAAGATCAAGCTGATGGCCTTTCTCCTACTCTATTTATAGTGGGTGTACACATGTAAGGATCCATTGACTCTCATTTTTGAGGAGTCTTAGGGATGAGAAGGGAAACATCTTTATCTTCAATATGCCATCTTTAATCATGGGACAAATTTTGCATCTTTCTAGAGACTGGAAATAAATTTCTTCTAAAATTTTTTTTTTTTTTTTGCGGTACGCGGGCCTCTCACTGTTGTGGCCTCTCCCGTTGCGGAGCACAGGCTCCGGACGCGCAGGCCCAGCGGCCATGGCTCACGGGCCCAGCCGCTCCGCGGCATGTGGGATGTTCCCAGACCGGGGCACGAACCCACGTCCCCTGCATCGGCAGGCGGACTCTCAACCACTGCGCCACCAGGGAAGCCCTCTTCTAAAAATTTTAACCCAATTTTATAGAAAAGAATTTTCAGCAGCCTGATATACTTCTAAGTTTTCACAGTCTATGAAGGAAGAAGAAAGACAGGGTCAGGCAGAGGTTCAGACTCTGATTCTCAGTGGCTCAAATATGGTTTCTCACAGTTGGTGGATGGTGACATAATTCTCTGGTCAACTGAGGCCCTTAGAACTGTCCCTTAGAAGCATCTCAATCCGTCTCTTTTGATTGCACAAAAGTGACCGCTCTGCCTAAGTTTTGGCATGTGGTCCATTCTTATCTATAGTTTATAACACTAATACTCATTTAAGATTGTTTTGTGCATCTCTCTGGGTATTATAATTGGGAAGCCGGTGTGAGATAAATTAGGCCTGTCTCACTTGCTGCCATGTTAACTTAGAAATTCAGGTTATTATTATTAGACTTAACAGGAAGAAACCTAAGCAAGTTCAAGGTCAGAGCAGAAACAAGGATGGTCTGAATTACAGAAAAGATAATTAGGGGGTCAAATTCTTGAAGAAGCTGGAAGTTGTGCCCCAGGGACACAGAGTTGAAAGGGAGGGCAGCCTTGGACAAGTGGAAAGACACTTCTTTCTCTGAGATGCTACAGCAGGACGTGACTGTGAAGATACGAGAAGAAGGAGCTCCAGGGTTCCACACTAACGAGTCTATTTTCTCTGGAATAAGAGCTTTGCATGGTCTTCTGAGAGTGAGGGGAACCAGGTATGTAAGAGTTTGGGCTGAAGGGGAAGGGTTAGGAAGAGAAGCTAGGCGTTGAGGAGGGCTGCTGAGGACAGAGAAGATGGCAAACTGGGCTTGTAGCATGACGGCATTTTGTCCAGAGGACAGAAGAATTTCTGAAGCCTGTGCTCGACCATGGTCACCTCTCACCACGAGGGAGATGTAAACCCAAGGAGCAATGACAAAGCAGAGTTGAATTTTGAATTTTGATCCAGTCACCTCTGGCTTTGGCCCAAACACCATTATGTTTAACCAGTAGATTCTGCTGGGTTTTCTTCAAAGTATTTTCCTTTCCCAAGCTGGTTAGGTCTGAAGAACATCAGACTAGAGCAAGCCTTGACATTCACTCTGTTCACTGGATCCCCATCGAGCCCCTTAACCTAACCTCACCTCAGTCTCACCACTGTGATGGGGGCCAGACTGACACACCTGTGAGCACCCGGGGGCCTGAAGCCAGAGAAAAGCAGACAGGCAAGGCAATGCACACCCCTCCCAGGGGCAGCACTGATTTCATTCAGGTGACACTGACAGGAGCACCAGACCTAGCAGCCATCACCTAGGGAAGCAATGGTTTTCAGAGGACTCGGGTCTCTGACTATTTAGCCTTTGGGAAGCAGGAGCGGGAGGGAGGGAAAGA